GCCCCCGCCCGGGGGCCCGGAGGCGGGGCCGCGGCGGCCCGGCCCCCCCCCGCCGCGCCGGCGCCGCCTCGCCGGAGAGCGGGGGAAGCTTCTCCGCTGGGGAGGTGGGGAAGCGTGAGGCCCTGGTGGTCAGCTCCTCCCTCCCCTCCCCAGTCACCTCGCATCACAGAAGATTCATTAAGTTATAGACTTTATAAAGGCTTCTGTCTCTTAATCCTGTTGTTTTCTTTCTCTGTTCCACTTTAAAAACTGAAATATTTGTGCTCTTCCCACCTATTAGCTTTACTCAGTGTCTCTGACAAGACCAGCCTGGTGGAATTTGCAAGGAGTCTGAATGCTCTGGGCCTGGGTTTAATTGCCTCTGGAGGAACAGCCAAATCCCTGAGAGATGCTGGCTTGCCTGTCAGGTACAGACGCTTTCCTATACACCTCCCCCAAAAATGTTCGTTTGGGTCCTGAGGTTGCTTAAATTGTTTTGTCCATCTGTGAGCAAAAATGATTGAAAACTGGTCTGAAAGCAAGTCTTCCCTTCCAAAAAAAAAACCCACCCCAAAAGCCCCAGAGCAAACTTCAGAACCTTGTTGGCTGACTAAGGCCAAAGAACATTACTCTGCAGGTCAGCACACACAGAGATGGCAGGAGTGTTGTGTTGGAGATGATGACTTGTCTGCCTTCAGCCAGCTTTTTTCCCCATGAGACAATCAGTTGTCTTGAAATTCATAATCTGACCCTAGTGCTGCTCTTCACAGCCAGGCAAAAGCTGATATTTGCCCAGTCCTGGGACAGGAAAAGTGATGTGTGTCAAGAATATGTTGAAGCTCACTGGAGATCATTTGTCACAAATAATTCGCCCAGCACGGTGGTCAGTTTTTTCAGACAGAGCCTGTAAATGTTGTGCATCCGCTGTTTGAGAAGGGGCATGTACGGTCACCAGCTGTTTTGGCCCAGGATTCTGGGGAAATTCGTTCTAGTTTCTTCCATGCTGTGATTATAAGAACAGCTCTGGCCAAATAAAAATTGTTTCCAGTACAGTGATGAAAAATCTGTCAATTATTTGGCAGGACAGGTGACTGTCACTCTTTTAGCTTCCAGTGAATGCAGTGATAGGCCCCTGGGACACATCAGCATGAATACACACCGCCTCCAGAGCTCCCTGTCCTCACTGTTATCCAGCACTTGGTCATGTCTCTCCAAGTTCTTTGCTTGGCTGTGCTGTCAGTGAAGCCTGAAGCAAAGGATGGCCACATTTCCCCTTCCCTCTCCAATATATTTTTTGTTTACTATCATAAACAGTCACAGGGAGTGGTGAAATTTTAATTAAGGTTTTGGCTAAGCTGGGAAGAAGAGTACTGAGGTATTGCTTCTTTTGAGGATGGTCTTCCGTTATCTATAAACCACGTTGACTTGGGATTTCCTTATCTTGGTTATTTCAGTGTATTTGAGAAATAACCATACTGCTTAGTTGAGTGTGACCCATGAACTTTGTTTCTTTTCGTGGGAAAAGCAGTTGTTGCCTCTTTGGCATGGGGGGGGGGGTTGTAGTGACATTTGTACAATTCTTTTGTTTTGAGTCACTTGCTAGAAAGCAGTGTCCTTTCTGTCTTCTGTCAGATGTAGCTTTTGCATAAGATATAGATCAACATCTTGTGAAGAGTGAGAGAGCATTAAACCAGCATTTTGGCCGTTTCTACTAATCCTTCTGTACCTAGCAGCATTTTGCTAATTAGTTGACAGATGCCAACCATAATAAAAACAGCCAGATCTATCTTAATGTAGAATGCCTCATCTCAGAACTGCTTCTCAGCCCTCTGTAAGAAGGATGCATCCTACTCTGTCACTCAGCATAGGTTTTTCCTAGCAGTTTAATAATACACCTTCCATATGTTATGTTCTTACTGAGATACAAGATATTGAAGTTTAGAGGAATCATGGATGTGTTTTCTCTCTAAACTCCTCCTGTCATGGATGGAAATGTGGTGATTTTTTTTTTAACAGATGGACCAAAAGAAAGCTAAGTTTATTTCCCTTCCTTTCTGCCTTCAAAACTCCTAGGTTTTAAATCTCCTTCCAGTAAAAACAACATTGCCAGCAGATTTAAATTACTGCCCTGATGTGCGTAATAAACATTCAACCTATGGATTAAGTCAGTATGGCACATCTGTTAGCATGCTGTGTTTTCTTGTTGAGCAGAGATGTTTCAGACCTGACAGGGTTCCCTGAGATGTTAGGTGGACGTGTGAAAACCCTTCATCCTGCAGTCCATGCTGGTATGTTTCTGCTAATATATTTTCAGTCTAAAAGAGAAATCCATGGGCAGTGAGGGTGGGAAGAAGGGGTCGACAGATGTCTTTTTTTAAGTGTTGTGTGAATGAACTGGGTAATGAAAACAGATTCGCTATAGCAGCGGAAGAAGTGAAAAGCATGGGGTGGAGAAGTGCATGATGGCTGAATTACTTCCTCTGTTGCTGTGCTGGCATCTATGCAGCTAGCAGAGCTTTTCCTCCCCAGGGCTACAAGTAACAGGGCTTCTCTGTAAATGCCTTTGCACGTTTTTTGCAGAGTCAGTTTCAGACCTGTTCAGGCAGAGAGCTCCACTGAATTTAACTTGTGGGTGAATCTGGTGTGCAGCATAAGGAACGTGACAGCATAGTCTTTAGCGGGTGATTTCTGCATGTCTAATCTTCCCTGTCTTCCCTTCAGCGAGGAAGATGTCTGATAATTGGTCAATCTGCACATTAACCCATCTGCTGTTTCATCTCCTGTTACAGTGCTTGAGATCCCTCAAATTGAACCTGGTGCCCATCATACTTGAGGGCTGGAGACAATCTCCTCTGACAGCCTTGGACACAGGGTTGTGCTGTCGCTTACTCTGTGCCAGCCAGTCATCTGCATATTTCTCTGAGTTCCTAGCCCCAAGCCAGCCAGCTATCTGCTCAGCTAGAGGCACAGCTTCTTTTGCTTCGGGTGCTTCATAGGGTTTGAGTGTTGCTGGCTGATGAGTGGCAGGTGCCCTTTTCCTCTCCATGAACTCCTTAATGACAGTTATACTGCTTTAAGGGTAGCAACTGAATGCTTATAAAGTACGTTTTTGAGGTTGCTGTTCAGCACATGGAATGGTCTAGGGTTTAGCATTGGGGAAAAAAACCTGTTACTATGGAATTTGAACAGCCAAAGAGTCAGTAAAATGGAATAGGGTAGAGGTGTAGGGGCTGAGGACTGTTGTCTGAACTAGAATCAGAAAGTTTATGGCAGAAGCACAGTCTGAAGAAAGAAGTTGAATTAAAAAAGTGTTTGTTGGTGATTTAGTTCTTTTTTTAATAAAGATGTACTGTTGTTTGTAACTAGGCATCTTGGCTCGGAATATTCCAGAAGATAATGCTGATATGAACAAACAGGATTTCAGCCTTGTAAGGTAAATGTTGGGGGACATGACGCAACTCATCAGTAATCAAAAATGAACATTGGAAACCAGTCAGTACCAGTGAATGGGAGCAGCAGGGATTGTAACATCTGCACACCAGAAGATCTGTAATCTCCTTCCTTTTCCCTGCCAGGAGATACTATGTTTTTAAAAATACAGTTTTCTACAGATGCATCTTCATCACTTGTAGTAAGAGAAAACTAAAACAAGAAAGTTACATGGTGGTTTCCACAGGGAAGAGAGGTTTTAATGTCTTCTGGTTATCTGGGAAATTTGGATACTTTACATTTAGTCAGTGTTGGACCACATTACACTTCTTGCAAAGTTGAATTCAGTACTTTTGAAGCTGGCACATCTCCCCTCAACTTGGCTCTGACTGTCTGTCAGATGACGATTCCCAATTTTGAAATGCTTGCTTAGTAAATATACCCTTTGATATTTGCATAATGTCTACTGAGTTTCAACACATAAATAAAGAGTAGACCTGAAAAGCGGGTCAGGAACACACAGCATTTGTGCAGACAGAAAATGTACTTTCTGAGAGCCATCATGGGAGCCAGTGAGCTGCAGCCAGAAGTAGAAGTAAAACAGTTTGCGCACTAACATACCAAAGGTTTTTTCTGTTTTTGTTAGAATGTATTTACTCAGTACACTCACACAGGGCAGTTTGGGACTATGTTTAACTAATTGGTTTTAACATCTAACTAGTGATTGTGAGTAACCAATTCTATGTCAGTGGGTAGCTCCCGGTTTAGAAATGAATGGCTGAATTGAACGTACTAAATTGTAGGTATAGCCAGGATAGGAGGTATAGTTTGACTGTGGTGATCGGGCTAGAATGCATCTTAGCTTTTAAAATTATGTTTAAAAACTGATGTGCCTAGGATGGATGGATTTCCAGGCTGAATTTGAAAACCTGAAATTTAAACCCACAGGAATCCTCACAGACAGACAGACAGCTCAGCAGTGGTGGCTCTTCAGAGTACGCTGCATTTTAAAGCAGGCTCTGCTGAATTGCAGGGGCAGTAGCATCCCTTTACATCGGTGACTTACAGTGCACTTGCATCTGGAGTAATAATTTGGATTTGGGTTGTCTTACAAAAAGCAGAAGAAGCTGGTCCTCAGCAGGAGGGTCTTTGCGTAGTTGCGTAAAATTTACATACCCGAGTCAAGGTAGGAAACCTTGATACTGATTATCTTGATTTCCACAGATAAAAGCATTAGCAGTGTTAAAGTCCACAGGCTCCTGATGGTTTGCAACAGGTCAGGAGCATGAATGGATGGCGGGAAAGAGGGGGTATTAGAAACAGAACAGACAATAAAAGTTATCATAGGAAAATTAGAGACATAGAGGGTTCTGAAAACCGTACTGGAAGCTGGTCGTCCCTTCCACTTGAATTTATCACACAGCGTGGAAACAAAGGAATATTAAAAGTTGGATGCAAGTGTATGCATCACAGCAATTCACTGCCCATCCTGGGCATGCATTGGGGTTTGATACCTTCATACATTCAGTTCAAGAGAGTGAATTAATGCTCTCGGATTAAAAACATTGTTTGTGAAACAGATACCTCCCTTCACTACAGTTCATGTGGCACTGGTAGGATGGGACAGGGCAAGTTATTACTTCATGCTTTCTGGAAGACAGACTGCAGCTTCTTCCAGATCAGATCAAGAAACTAATTCCGGTAAGGTCCAGTCTTACTTTGAGAGGGTAAGTCAATTCTCCCACCTGCTTTCAAGTGCCACAGAGGCTTTGTGGGATCCAGGCTGTGCACTTGGGTTTCATATGCTGTTGGTGTTTTAAAAGTCCAGAAGGTGATGTGTAGGTTGTTTTCTGCTCTTGGAAAAGTTGTGGAAAATTAGAGTGTTTATGTTTTGTTTGCAATGGACCTTGCTCTGGGTGTTTACTCTCTTAGGAAAGTTGGTGGATGCCTATTTTCAGTACCTCTGAGAGCCCCCTTTGAAGTCCTTTGGAATGGCTCAAGTTGTGCACCAAAAATCGCTAAGCATTTAAACACAGGCCCGCATATTTAAAGAAACTCTTCCTTTTAAGTAGCTTCTGTAAATTGTGGTTCTATCCACTGTAACGTTGTTTAATGCACAGAGTTCAGTTAAATTGTATAATGCATGTACTGTTTCACCATTGTAACATCACTTGGCCTTTGGCTGAACACCACTGACTCTTAAGTGTTTTGGAGAAAGAAGCCTTGGCTACAGGATTTTATGTTGGTCCCTGATCTGAGAGACAAGACCATAAAAACACTGGTAGTACCTTGTGCATTCCAAGCCCAATTTGGCCTTTTTATTTCTCATTGAGTAACCCTGCTTTTCCCCTCAATTCTCAGAGTCGTAGTGTGTAACCTCTACCCCTTTGTGAAGACCGTATCTTCTCCGGATGTAACTGTACAAGAGGCAGTGGAAAAAATTGATATTGGTAAGTTAAAGGGAGAGCAAATCTCTTCTCCAGGCAGACTTGATGGTTCTGGCCTCTAAGTGGTCTCAGGTCTTTTCTTTGTTTGGTGGCCTTGCACACCCATAAAGGAAGTCCGCTAAAGAGCACAAGAGTTCCAAGGAGTAGACTGAAAGCATAGTTGGGTAAACCTCATTGCTTTTAAGCAGACCTACAATTAAAATGGCAAGTGGCTGGTGTAACAGGCTGGCAAGCCATGCTGCATAGGTGGGCAAGCCATGCCCTGCCCAAAGGAAGAAACCTGATGTACTGTAGAAGGCTGTGCTAGGAAAGGGGAGGTGGAGCATGTTTCCTACTGAATCACGGAGAGCAGATTAAACCTCTTTTGCAGCCTCTGGCAGGGTAATAAAAATAAAAAACATGAGCTTTGGAGAGAAAAAGCTGAACCACTGAAAGTGCTCTGGGGATTGCTGAAGACTTCACTGCAGGAAGCTGTTACAAGGAAAGGGGTTGGTCTGCATATGCGGGAGAGTGGTTAGTACCTGAGTTTGGAAGCATGGACACCTGTATCAGCAGCATTTTTGCTCTTCCTGCTAGTTATTAACCCCAAAAGGCTTGTTGTTCCTTCACTGCAGCATCTCTGCTTGGCAGCTTGTGAACAGCACAGGCGCAGTTTTGTGCCATGAGGTTGGATTGCGATTGAATTTTCTTGCAGTAGTTTAGTCCAAATGATGCCCAGCAGAGCTCTCTATTAAATGTGTTATGGAGTAGTACTCACTCTGCATGTAGCAGTGCCAGCCTCTACTTTTCCTTTGCAACAGCCTAGTATCTTGTATGATTTAAAGTGTTATAATAGCTGTGCAGGGTCAGATTTAAGGGAGAAGCATGGCATTTTACCTTACACAGAGGACCTGGGCAGCATTCATTAATATTTGCAGAGAGATTTGGGAACCTCAGTTGCTTGGCAGTGTAGAAGTAAACCTTCCTATAGACCCCTCCCCAGCTCAGTGTCGCAGAAGATGGTGCTTAAGCGCTATGTGGAAACAGCCATCCTCTTCAGGATGTGGCTGTGCTGCTTGAAGGCATTCTTGCCCCAGGTGCTCATCGCAGCCCATGCATGACCTAGTTTCTTGCCCCTGCAGCTCTGCCTGGATCTGCAAAGGCCAATCAGTGTGCACCCTCATCAGTGGATTGAGTCAAACTCACCAGCCTTGTGTGTTTTGAAGAGCACTCTTACAGTCCCTTCTCCTTGCTGGAGAGAGGGGGGCACGTTCATCTGGCACAAATGATTGATTGGTGCATGTCCCTTCTTGGCCTCAGATGTGACTCTTAATTATGCCGTGTCCAGAAGGGAAGTGCTTCCTGCCTCCATCCTTCTCTTGCAGGAGGCGTTGCCTTGCTGCGGGCAGCTGCCAAGAACCATGCTCGCGTGACAGTTGTGTGCGACCCTGCAGACTACTCTGCAGTAGCTAAAGAGATGACAACATCAAGAGACAAAGACACCTCCGTGGAAACCAGGCGTCACCTTGCACTGAAGGTTGGTCGTGTTTCCTTGCAGTGAAGAGCTAGGCCAGACTCGTTTGCCTTTTGTTCTGTTCATTCACTTTAAACACCAAATCCTTTTGTAAGTTGATGTTTGTAAGTTGACAGGTGTCCCCCATTCTGTCCCCAGGCTTTCACCCACACTGCTCAGTACGATGCAGCCATCTCCGACTACTTTAGGAAAGAGTACAGCAAGGGGGTGTCCCAGCTGCCCCTGAGGTACGGCATGAATCCTCACCAGAGTCCTGCGCAGCTCTACACAATGAGATCCAGACTTCCCCTGACAGGTGAGGCCTAGGCCGTGCTGGCCAAAAGGGAGCTCTGGGATAGCTAGGAAAGGAGGTGGTTGGGCATGTCTGCCAGTTGTCTTTAAAACTGAACTACCATCTTGTATCTTAGTCCGAGGGATGGCCAGCAGTGCCTTAACAACTACTTTATTACTGAGTGGCACTAGCTTTTCAATGAAAAGGTTGAGGTGTGTGAGACAGGAAAGCTTGTCTGCTGACCTCCACAAGACTTATTGTAGCTCCATGTTCTCTGTTGGTGTAAGATGATGTGTCCAACCGAAGACCCTTTGGGCAGATTTAAGTGGTGCACCTTCTGTTTGACATCAGATCCAGATTTTGCAAAGGAAAACCTTGTTATCCTTTTAAGATGCTTTGCTTCTTTCCATTTTCCTTATTTAGTATCTTCCCCATCTTTTTGTGTCACCATTTACTCTGTCTAGAAACCAAGCTGTTTTCTGCGTTTGAATGGGTTTTGTTCTTTTTTCTTCCTTTGATGTTTTTGAGCAGAGGTTTATTACCTTAGTTTTCTAGAATGCTGCTTCTGCTAATGGTGGCAGAGGGAAGGGGTTCTAGTCTCGCTCACAAGAGTTTGGGGCAGGTCTGGTGTCTCTGCCATTTTACAGGGTGTGCCACTCATCGCAGCATTGCTGCACTGAGGGAGACCCCTGTTTTGGAGAGAAAGAAAATCTGTCTACTCTTGTTCTTGAGATTGCTTTTAATGTTGGTGAAAAACGGCTCTGCCTTGTGTGCAGGCATTGTCCTGTTGAACAGACAATGAAGTTTTGTGTTGCAGAATTGCCTTATTTCAATTCTGGGATCTCACAGAAGCTTTTCCATACCTGCACTGGAAGTTGATTTGCTTGCAAGTCTACCTCCCAATATGGCAGCAGAACACCACAGTGTTCACTTGTTCTGGCCATGGACTATTGCTAAAATCATCTTTTCCTCCTCTCTCCTGAAAGGCTCACAGTCCTGCCACATCAGTACAAGCAGTTCTTGCAGGGCCAGGGCAAAAGGTTTGGAGAGCAGACTTTTGAGTGACCTTTACTCTTGGCATGGATTTCTGACGAAAGGACCAGATGAAGCATTTTGCTAAAAGCTTGCCCTAAATTTCATGGCTGTGAGTGGTTCTGTTGACATCAGTTAGAGACAGCATGTGCTTGAAGTTTGGCTAGTGCCAGAGTACTTAGTTGGATCAGAGCCATAGTCGCTAGGGAGCGGGGGATGTGCTTTTTGTGTTCTTCCCCGACAGCACTGCTATACACCTTGATGAAAGTCAGGCTCTGGTAGGCTCCCTGAGAAAGAGATGGCTCTTGTTCCAAATGGCTGCCAGTTGAAGAACTGAAAGAACATAAGGGAGAATGTTCTTTTTTTGTTCCCCTTTCACAAGAGGGGAGGTGCACGGGGTCAGCATGTGTCTTGCTCCAAGGTCATATCAGCAGCTTCTCATAGGGAAGAGAATTGTATTGGCATCTCCTGAGCCTCAAGCCTGTGCATTCCTCACAAGTCACTGAAGCTTTTCATGGCACTTAATCTTGCTGGGGAGCCAGGGTCATTTAACAAGAATAATTTGTAGTGATTTCAATTCTTGATGGGAGAAATCTCTTCTGCTTGCTGTCCAGACTCTGGGGAGCAGACTCTGCCTGCTTTAATGTGTCTATTTGCGTGCTATGTTTGCAGTGGTGAATGGCTCTCCAGGGTTTATAAACCTATGTGATGCTCTCAACGCGTGGCAGCTGGTGAAGGAACTCAAGCAGGCATTAGGCATGGCTCCTTGTTGCCATGCTTTTCTCTTTGAACAGACTGACTTTTGGCAGGCCCTGCCAGTGGTGTATCTGTGTCGCTTACCCTGGCCGTTTGGGGAGGTCCAAGGGGCAGGGACCAGTGAGAGATTCTGGTTTGAGTGCCCTGGCTTGTGTTTCCCGCTAGGTGCTGCTGTTGGAATACCTCTCAGCGAAGAGGAGGCACAAGTCTGCATGGTGCATGACTTCCACAAGACCTTAACGCCCTTAGCGTCTGCCTACGCACGAAGCAGAGGTGAGAAGCCCAGGAATAAACTAGCATGTCCAAAGAGATGAGCTTAATTCTCAGGACCTGAGCAGCATGCTTAGCACTTTGCAGGCTCCTTCCCTTTGCAGTGTACTCCTCTGTAGGGTTTTTCTCCATAAGGATCTGACTGACTGAGTAAATGAACTGACTGCCTATCAAAAGCTGCTCTCCACATGAGCAGACCTTGTATATTGTTTCAAAGAGGCTAAAAACATGTTGGATTCTATTTCTTGATGTATATAGAAGGCCTGTAGAGATTTTTTTAATTTAGATCTGTGTATATATATATACAGACACATATAAATCTATGGGGTTTTGGCTAAAGGATGGATAAACAAATAGCTGTGCTGGTAGCACACTCAGCCTCCCACTGCATATGGGATACTCAGGAATACTTAACTTGAGTAGAAATGTTTCTGCCTGGTATTTGGTGGGTGGGTTTTTTAATGCTTTTGTACTTCAGAGCTCACAAAAAAGATAAAAATAAGTAAAAAAAAAAAAAAGTAAAAAAAAAATAGCTTCCTCTGCTTAGCTGAGATACTTTGCTAATTCTCTTATTTTCCATGGCATTCCTAGAAAATCTGCACAGATTATAGAAAACAAAGCAAACTTGATAAGGGTCACATTGGCTTGTGTTCATTTTTCACCACTTTGGGGACCACCTTTGAACATTGCCCTTGGAAAACCATTGCATGATTGGTAGCAAAACAAACCTTTAGAATGGCAGGGACAGAAGAATTGACCTTGCTGAGTACTAGAGCATTTGTGATAGGAGCTGAGTGCCGTTAGTTGTTCACCTTAGCTATGCCATTAAATATAGAGAATATTTATTAAAAAAAAATTGCTCTCGGCTACATTTCTGGGTCTGGTTTCTTGCAGGAAAAGCCAGATGGGAGCATAGGCATCTAAAAGCTTTCCTCTTTTTCCAACTGTCTCCCGTCTAAAATCTTTCTGTATGATCCTTGCCTCTCCTTGTCCTCTTGCCACCATGGCTACAGCAGAGCTGCTTGCAGTAATGGAGGTAGTCATTACAGAGTTAGAGCTTTGACAAATGCAGTGAAGAAGGAAGAATATCTGAACTATGGGAATATTTAAAGGTGCATGCGTTTGAGGTAGGATTTTTCATCCTTGTTGCCCTTATATGGCCTTTTTTTTTTTTTTTTTGCTGTGGGATTAAATTATTAGCTCTCATTGAAATTGACTGGATTGTAGGAGCAAAGACTTTTCTTTGTATTGTGCTATAGTTTGATAAGTTACTAAAAATATGATTTTGCAGGTGCTGATCGGATGTCATCTTTTGGTGACTTCATCGCCTTGTCTGATATCTGCGATGTGGCTACTGCCAAGATTATTTCCAGAGAGGTTAGTTAAACAGCAGCAAATCATTTGAGTGCAAAAAGGAGAATCACGCGAGATGGAGTCATTGGTTTGTAACAGCTGTTCTGTTTGAATTTGACCCTTTTTACTGAAGACTATTTATTGGTCCGTTTGTGTAATTCGGTATCTGGAGTGCAGAATTTACACCTATCTTTTGATGCATTTTTCTTCCTACCAGTTAAAACCTGGCTGTGTAGGAGAGCCTGTGAAATAGCAGTGCTTGAAATGCTGCTTTCCAAGAGATGATTGCAAACCTCTGCCTCTGAGTAGGCCTCCGGAAATGAACCCTGATTACGCTGTCCCAAGTACCTGGTTGAATGGCTGTAATCGGAACAATAGCAGACCCCAGAGCTGATGGCCAGCCTCTTGCCCAAGGCAGGAATGTGGATGTAGATTGATACTTGCCAGCTGATACAAGCTTTGTGTAGGCTCAGCCACTTTCCAGGCTGCACTTTTTACTTTGCTGGATTAAACATTAAATCCATAGCTGACTGCATTGTGCAAGTCACTAGTTTAAATACAGAGTTAAACAGCTGGGAGTTAATGCTTTACCAAACACGTTCATCCCATTATATGTTGCTTACAATTTTTCTGAGAGGGGGAAGGCGCAATGCAAAGGGCTGTCTTGTACATTTGAGACTTCTTTTCGAACAAGTGAAACAGCAGGTTTGACTGATTATGAGGATAACATTTGGTACACTATTACTTAAAAACAAAAAACCACCACCCACATTGTAGGATAAGAATGTGAAAGGTGTATATCGCTTCATGGCACTGATGAATGTAAACTCTTCAGTTTCAATGTTCTTAACAGCTCTTTTGCCAATATTTTTGTCTTACCAGGACCATCACTGTTGAAATCAGGATTTTTTTAAGCCATGTTTACTGTTAGGACTGAGAAGTGGGGATGTTGTGCATGAGCTGTTTCCCCCTGGAGGGGGATATTAGTTATTAGTTCCATTCTGCTTAAAGTGATGGTGGGGTATCTTTTACTAACTCCTGCCAAGAGCTTGTAGTGCTCTGTTGTTTCCTGTTTCCAGGACTGAAACCAATATTGTAGTAGTGCCTTTGGTATTGTATGGTACATACAGACCCTGAGAGGTGTGCCTTCAGTGCCTTTCTGGAAATGGCAGGTGGCGCTTTCAATATTGGCCCCTTTTTTTTTTCCACGTGGACACTGAAATTGTGCGTGTTGCAGGTATCTGATGGTGTGGTAGCTCCTGGCTACGAGGAAGAAGCTCTCAAAATCCTTGCCAAAAAGAAGAATGGTGGTTACTGCGTCCTCCAGGTTTGTACTCCTGCTCCGGTGTAACCCTCTACTGTTTTTCCTGTACCTGCTTTTCACGGACATTAGTGTCCGAATAGGTCGGGTGCTGATCCAGGTGCCCCTGCAGTGCATGGAAGTGTTTCCTCTGGGTCTTTGGGGATTCCTGTATGAGCTAGAATTCCACCAGCAGTGTTGTGGTCACGTTTTAGCCTATAGTCCTAGAGCAGAGTATTTTCATAATGCCTTCCTTGGCTTTTAAAGTGATGGGGATTTAAAGTAGTTAAATCTATGAACCAGCAAGAGTACGTCAAAGAAACAGAATTTCTGGGCTCTCTTTCCACTCTCTGCCAGCTTTCCTCTCACTTTTGCTGAATTTGTTTCCTCCCTGAATTCTTTTTATCTAAGATATAGTGCCTCAATGATGTTGTGAGTCTTGGCAGTGAGAAGCATGTCTAGTATATCACTGGGGGAAGCCTTGTCTGGGCATGTGGTATTTGTAGAGCAGTCTTTAGGACAGTCAGTGATGAAGGTAGCAGCACAGGCAGGGTTTCGACCTGGGATGATGCATCTTTACATACTGCAACCAGGATGCTTGTCAAGGAACATTAATATAGTGTGGTCAAGTCAGTGTCAGGTTGCCTTCCTAGTTCCCCCAGTGATTGTTGGGGCTTCAAAATCATCCAGTTTTGGTGAACGTGACTAACGGATTACATAATGCTGTCAGAGCAGCCAAACAGGTCCTATTTCTGCCTGACTCTGAGAGACAAACGAGCAGAGAACTTTACTATAACATTACAAAAAGAAAATCCAAGGCTTAGCTGAAGCTGCAATTGTGGTGTTACTACCAGGGGAGCTGTAGAAGATGGCTCAGGAGCTTCAGGCAAGAAGGAATGAAATTGCAGACAATCTTGGCAGATGATTACCTCCTGAATTCAATTAGCTTTGCAAGGATGAGGTCGTATTGGTTAAGCCTGTATCTTCAGGGTCTGTCTGCAGAGGGATGCTAAGGAAAGTTGCTCTGAACAAATTTAAATGGATTAGGGAAACCACATAAAGCATGTGCATGCTCCTATTTAGAGCTGATAGCCTTAATCCAGTTTACTTCATGTCTCGATAATCTGAACTGGGACTACCAACTTTCTAAATAAGCCCATGCATTGGTAGACCTGAATGCAGTTTAACAGTTCCATTTAACTTTACCCCTTACACTGGTGTAAATTAACTGTGCTGTGTGCTTGTTTGGAGGTGTGCCCCAAGAGAGTGCATCTCTGGAAAGTGTTCGATGTTTTCTTTAATGTCGAAGAGGGCTGGGAGTTGTACCTTGAGGGATGTATGAAGCAACTCAAAATATTTCTGCCTTCCTGTGGAAGACGGGAAGACTCTTTTTGTGCAGAGGTTTTTCCCTTTCTGTGAAAGACTGGAAGACTTTGCAGATTTTTGTGGCTCGGGACATGGACATTTGTATATAAGCATCTATACTGCATTACCTCTCTTTGCCCTGTAAATGTCACTTCGTGCTGTTGAGACCTTGCCGCTCCAGTTAATTCTCATTACTTCTGATGATTAGACATTGTTTTCTATAAACAGTTCACTTCTTTTAGATTCTTTAGATAATGTGTTTTAACCTAAGCTATTACTGGACGTTGGCTTTGAAGTGCTCTAAGTGTTTTATTGGCCTATCCTTTGCCTTTTAGATGGATCCCCATTATGAGCCAGATGACAATGAGATTCGAACCCTCTATGGATTGCATCTCATGCAGAAGAGGAACAATGCAGTCATCGACCGGTCATTGTTCAAGAACATTGTTACAAAGAATAAAAACGTAAGTGTCAGAAGATAAATGGGCTTAAAGACTGGTGGAATGAACTGGTGTGCTTTCATCAAGGAAGTCATCACTGTTCTATTTTAAGAGCTCTTAAAATATTTTAATGAGATATTTTAACTGGCTTTCAACAGAACAATGCAGCAAACTTTCTGGACCAAATGTACTTGGGTAAATCAGGGTAGTTTTCCTTTGTTTTGATTCCTTGCATAAATGAGAGGAGCTAGACCTTGGCCTTTATCTCCCACTACCAAAATATTTGTATTTCTTTTAAATAAGAAGCTACCATGTGTAATTTCTTATGGTGAGACAGCAATGTGCTAAGGATCCATTGTGATCTCATTCTGACTCACTGTTTACTTCTCCCTTTTGTGTACAGTGTGTTGTATAAACTCTGGCCCTGCTGATATTGCTCATCATTTAAAGTTCACATCATCAGAAAGTTATCAGTTATTTCTTTGTCTTGTTCTCATTATAAAACAGATGTTAATGAGCACAAGATTAGTCATGGGCTCAGAAGCAAGTTCAGACATTGAGGTAATAAAAATAATTCTAATAAGTTACTAATGGAACGGACTTAAAAATAATACTTAATGCAGAAAGTGGGAGCTATTATTATCGTTGTGGTCCTGTGTGTACTTAAGCATGTGCTTAGCTTTTTGCCTATGAGCACATCTGATGACAGTGAGCAAATACAGAAGACTTTGCAGGCTTAGGGCCAGTGATAGGGCCCTCTTGACCTGGTAAGGTTGAGTCTTATCCACATGAGCTATGAGAATAGCTGCCACACCAAGAATTTGCAGTTTTTAATCTAAACAAAATTTGCTGGTAATTGAACAAAACGGGATATTTTAGTTATCTTGTTTTCCCTCTTTGAGATACAGTACTTGTGATGGCTTTGGGGGTTTGCAGATCACTAGCTAGTTGGCTAGTCATGGTTGTTAGGACGGGCCATTGACAACGGCATTTTGTTTCAGCTGCCTGAGTCTGCTGTCCGAGACCTGATTGTTGCCAGCATCGCTGTCAAATACACCCAGTCCAATTCGGTTTGCTACGCCAAGGATGGGCAGGTAACCAAATCAGACAGCTCTGTGGAGTGTACTTTCACAGCCAAGATGGTCAGAGAGTGCTTTTGTCAGGCTTGAGTTTTGAAATCATTTAGCATACAGGAAGCTATTAAACAGGTACAGATGAACTGCCCGAGACAGTGCCATGCAGAACAGTAGTTAAACCAGTTTCTCAAGAGGCTGCTTCAAAACCTCGGTGTAGTTTTGTCATGATAATGACAGGGCTGGCTCTTTCAGTGATGGAGTTGGAAAAGCTCTTATGTGCTTCTGCAAGTTTGACCTTGAGTCATTTCTTTCTAACTACTCTGTCCTTTTATGTCATTTTTGAGGGCATGTACACATATGTTGTACTCTGTATAGAGCCTTAGGACATGACTAGTTTTCACAGCTGGATTCTGACTGTCCAAATGATTCTTAGTTTTATTTTCATTTTTTATATATATGAGAGATGGGATGTGCTTTCTTTTTTCCCTTTGGGGCATTCTCCCTGATTTTTTTTAAAAGCTTATGATGGATGTTGGGATTTACAGGCGTGTTATCAAATGTGTAGTTGAGATATGAATCTTGAATTTAAAAAAAAAAAATCCTGTCTTTCCACATTATCTCTAGGTATTTAGCTTAAATTAGTTATCCAAAAGTTGTTGTAAATGTATTAAAAATTGTATTTTTGCCCAGCGGCTCATTCTCATAATGCTGCTGTTTAGCTGGTTCTCTGGTCTCCATAGTAACTTTTCCATAGGCCTGGATTATTTTAAAAAAATACAAAAAAAAAAAAAAAGACAAAGAATGTTTTTGATCTTGACCTTTGGTACATCATAAATCAGCAGAATAGACCAAACAGTATACCCTACAGGTACAGACCATGAATGAACTGCAGTGCTGTCCTTTTTGCATTGGTACTCATCTGCATTTGTTAGATTGTTGTTACAGCCTGAAAACATTGCAGTGTGCTCTCTCAGTACTTTCTGAGGTCATGTGCTGTATGGTTCTTGAAAACATGTCTCTGGAGATCTGGTATTTTTCTTTTATTCAGCTTTGGGGTTTTTTTTCTTGCTTTTAAATGGTTCTCCGTACTCAAGAGTGTTAGTTCTTGTAGCCCCAGAACAAAGGTGTCACTATCTTTGCTCCTTTTCCCTTATTACCGCAACAGTTTCCCCAGTGCTTTTGCAAGTCTGGACTTAATGTGGTGCTGCAGATGTTTCTGAATGTATGTGGTAATGCATGTACCATATGGAAGGGAGAAGGCATGAGGGAGGACTGAAAAGCAGTGTGGGCAGGCAGGGATTGAACTAGCCTGGCTTCAGTGATGTTTTGCGTATTTGCAGGCATATATTTTAATCAAATATAAATGTGCTTTGTCTTGGTTTGTTGTATATGTGACAGGGAAGGCCAAGATCAGAGGTCTGTGTACTGCACTAAGAAATAAGTGACTTTTTTTAACAGTAAAGATCAGCAGCCATTACAATTACTTACTCAGGGAGGTGGTGAATCTATGTTGGGTTCTTCAAATCAAAGCTTAATGTCTTCCTTAAGAGACTCATCACAGTCCAAATGCAGAAACAGCAGTGTGGCATGCTGTAGGCAGTGATGGAGGAGATCAGATAGGAGCTCCCTTCTGGTTTTAAAATCTCTAACGGCTTCCTGAGACTGTTAAGTATTGAGACCATTGTTCGTGAGGTACAGATGGGGAAGGAAATAAGGCGCACTGAAACCCAGTCTTACCAAGATAGTAATCGGCTCAGATACTTCTTGGTGATGCTGTGCAGAACTAACTCTGGTCATATCACCTATCAAGACATAACATCAGATGTGTACAGGAATATTTGGGTGCAAACCAAAAAATAGCACAAATGAAGAACCCCAGGGATGGAAGGTAACTTCCAGATTGTTACACTGAAAAAGCTTTTCCAGGATCTGACTTGGTTTGGGTTATGTGAGCCAAGCCTGGGAAGTCCAGCTTGCTCTTGGTTCCATTGCTTTTGGTTTTCCAATGGTTACTTCAGCCTCACAGCATCCCTGATGCCTACAAAGACTCTTGTGTATCGGACATCCAGAACTTTTTTGACAGCTTGGCTTCGTTGGGTTTGTGAGTGGATTGGCCACTCCAGCAAGGGCTGGTGCTTGTGTTAATAAGTTCTAGGAAAGCAGGGAGTGGGAGGAAGCATTTATGGACTTGAGTGTCATTTAATTTACAGGAAGCCAGCTGCCACTAATTGCAGTAAACACTTTCACTTGTTTTGTCTGACTTTCAGCACCATGGAAGCCAGTCTGTAACCTGTTGATTTACACTTTCTTTAATGATACCATCATGTTTTAAATTAGCATTTTAAAATTATTCTCTTTCTTTATTCTCTGCACAGTGGGATAAAAGAAACCTGTTGATTTACCTTACTGTTTTCCACTGATGGCGCAGACATTTGTCAGTAACTTCATTGTTTGCTTGTCTTCCCAATTGTGAAGTCCTTTATTTGATTTTTCTAATTCCAAATGTATTTAGGATTTCTGTTTTCGCTCATTATTCGGGGTAAACCTGAGTAAATCCAGGCCAATCTGGATCATTTTGGAAGGATCCTTTGGGCATTACCCATCTCATCTACTCCATGCTTCTGCGCAGTATTCCAGCCATGGGGCATGTTTGGCTCTCCTGCGAGCCAAAGCGTTTTGGTCAAGTAGCTCTCAATTTTCACCCAAGCTTTTTTTTTATTAAGTGATTTTTCTGCTCACCCTGTATTACTGTCTCCTTTCACTCCTTACACTTAATAGGCTCTGCTTAAGCACTTTTTGATTCCCAGGAGATTAAACTCTGAAAGAAGCGTAATTAATTTTTATGTAGAAAATAGGCAGAAAATAGAGGGGGAAGGATTCCTTTGTGGAAGATTTTGAGGTTTCAGCTGTGTTTTCGTCTGGGAGAAAGCCAACATTTGAGGAAGGGAGAGATGAAGTGTAGGAAGAAGGATTTTCACTTCACATGAAGTGAAAAAGGCAGAGAATAAGTACATTCAGACAGGCCAGTGTGAAGAGAGATTCAGGTACAAGTCTATAGTTTGCATTAAGCAGAAGCTCAACCTTCTGATTTCTCCTCTTTAGACCAGAAATTCCAGCCTAGACTGAAGAAATCTTCCCCAGCAGTGTTGCATCAAAGCACATTTTTCTACAGAAAAGAATTTTGCTTTCTCTGTTCTGTTCTGTTGCAGAGAATATCTCTGTAGATTTCAGGATGCCTACAGAAAGTTTACAGGACACATCACTTTGTTTAACTGAAGTACAAGGTTCTTGCCATTTTGAAGTTGTTGAATACAAGCCAAAGTTCAGTTATGCGTTTTCTGATGAAATTTAGGTCACAAAAAATGTAAAATATACTGAGTAGCTCATAAAGAAAAGGAAAACGCTCTTTTTGAGAAGGGTGATTGGGTACTGACAGGTAGAGCTTGATTTCTAATGTGTGCCCATGAAGGAGCCGTTTGTGTTTGGGGCTGCATTGGCCTGGAAACACTTTCTCCAGTACCATTGCCCTTGGCAGCTGAAGGCCGGGGCTTGCAGCAGACTAGCCAGTTCCATCAGAGGAGTGCAAGGCTACAGCCCACAAGTACGTGATGAAGATGAGGCACCATTCTGGCTGGGAAAGGGTGGAGAGGTCATGACACTTCTGGCACATGACATCACATTTTTTTTTTTTTAGAAACTTGGGAATGTTCCATGGTATTTTGGCCCCTGCTACCAACAGTCTGTCCAGTACTCTCTACCATCTGCATCCCCAGCTAAAATTTCTGCCTTAGCCTAGCCTGGCTTGCTAGGGCCGCTCTTAAGGGCTGGGTGACAGTTAATGGTGTGCAGCGTATGACAGTGTTAAGCCCTCTCCTTTGTCCAGGGAGAGAGGATAAACCTCTGTGGAAGAGATGATATATCTACACGCAGCTGGCATTGAGCTCCCTTAAGATGCAGGGTCCAGGGTGGACGTGAGAGCAGAGGTTGGACATCAGGAGTGTTGGATAATATTAATATCCTTGCGGGTTTATTAAGCACTGATGATTTCAGTTATAGCTGAGCAGATGATATTAGATAGCAGCCCAAGTCTTTCATTTTCTCCTTGGGGGAATAGTATCCAGCAGGATGTTTTATGGTTCTGGTAAGAGGTGAAGTCACTGTGTCTTGATGAATGAGAAGACAAATGATTCATTCCTTTGAGGGCAGCCTTTGACTTATAGCTTTACCATCTGTTTCAGTCTGAGCTGGAAACTCTGAGGCATTGGCCAGAACCGCTAGCCTCAAGACAGTGTCCCTGGAGCAGTCCCCCATGCGAACAGTCTGGTGAACAGTTCAGCTGTGGCTTCATAGGAGGAGGAAATTATGGGAGAGAGACTTGTTTTCCATCAGTTCTCTGGTTTGAAATGGCAGGAGCTCTCTTTGGAAAGGAGGACATAGCTCTGAAAGCCATGGAGGAAAGTTACCAGCCCGAGTTTGACAGCCATGATGGCTAGGTCTGGCCTTTGTGTGCCTGGCATACTGTCCTGGCAGAGGCAAAGCTGAGGGACAGCAGACAGTCTGGAGCCCAGGAGACCTCAGCTCAGTCCCTTGCGCTTGCCAGTTGTGACGGCAGGCAGACCATATCTGCAGGGTTTTTTGTGCCAGTGTCCAGTAACCAAGATGTCTCCAGCCACATTCAATTTTCGGTGGTGTCAGCATCTAAGAGTTGCTTTTGTCTCCAGTGCAACTTTGCACCAGCCCAGATGGGATGCAAGAGCTTGTTTGCATTGTGCATTGAACTGTGACAAATAGCTTCTAGAGTTACCTGACCACCAGACTCCAAAGAGTCTCAACCTATTTTAATCTATAGTGTACCGAAAAAATTGACAGAGTTTGAATGTGTCTGATGAGAACTCCAAAGAAAGTGGTCTGAAAAAAGCAAATGGAAACCATATTTTCATAGAAGCTTCCTTGAGGAAAAAAATCACCTTTTGGACTTTGCTTCCAGAAGCACTAGGTCTGTTTGATATCAAGCACAAGTGCTATTAAATATGGGTAGCAGCAGCAGTTTTTAAAATCCTGGACTCTCTGGCAGATGGGCAGAGAAGGAAATGTGTTGGTAGCTCCAGGGCCTTGATAATTCATGCAATGTAGTGGTCCTACTGGCCAGCCTTCCTGATTGAGCAGTATATTTACTTTCTTATCAGCCTTGACAGACAAACTGCCCGGTAATCCACCACATAGCACAGTTGATCTGTTTTGAGCTGTGTATGCCTGGCCCACCAGGAAAGATTATGGTGTTTGGATGACCCAGGCTCAGACTTCAATCCTCTAATCAAAGTGCCCTTTCCAAGAACAGGTAGGCAGCCTACCACTTCTTAGCAGTTACGTTTGTTTCTACAACCAACAGGACTTTGGTTTGCCTTAAACAAAAACCATAATTGTATCACTCTTCTGAGGTTAATGGTTTGACTCAGATGACTGGGGTTATTTAGAAAGATGAAAGAATGTAGTGTTCTCAGAGTGACTGACAGCTCAGTGGAGCCACGGAAGTTAGCAGTGCAGAGAACTGTCCCTGTAACCAATTTACAGGATTGGGGATGCAGGTATTTTCAAAGTTTTCCTTGCTAATTACCTACACTCTTGCTCTGCTTCAGTGAGGAGCAGGTAATTTCTTTCCTAATGGCTTGGCTGGAATGCAGCTCTGATTGTGATCTTGTGATCTCTGCGCAGCAAGGCGTGATTGTGCTTTGTATATGTATGCTTCAGGTCATAGGTATTGGAGCCGGCCAGCAGTCCCGGATCCACTGCACGCGTCTGGCTGGTGACAAGGCAAACAACTGGTGGCTCCGGCACCACCCACGCGTGCTCTCCATGAAGTTCAAAGCAGGTGTGAAGAGAGCAGAGATCTCTAACGCCATTGATCAGTATGTCACTGGGACCATTGGCGAGGTAAGGGCTGGCTGAAAGGTTTCCCTGGAGAGTCCAGCTTCTGTGAAACGAAGCTGGAACTACTGCTTGAAATACCAGCTGTGGGTGCTAGGATCTAGCAAGGTTTCCTGATACCTAGGCCTTTTCTCCTCCACCTCAGTTTTTCTTCCAGTCCCAGAAAAACCAAGTCCTTTCATAGGTCACTTCTGAGTTGGTCAGACGGTTTCCTCTGGCATAAAATGATGCCCTTACCATTTCCACCTTCTGCCTATACTGAGCTCTTTCTGTGCTGGCTCCATGCTGAGGAGACATTTGTAAGGATTCAGGCAAGTCCTTACAAAGGACAAAGTCTTAAATTTGTAAGGACTTCAGGCAAGAGAGGGCTTGGTTGGTTACCACTTTTGGAACTGGTCAGCCTTTATAAAGGTAGTGATCTCTGTTAGGACAACAGATGCCAGCCACCTTTGACTCCACGTGAGTCACTGAGTTCCCTTGGTGCCTCTGAAGGTCCGTAGCCAGCCAACAGGAAGCTATAGATACTGGGCTTTGGGTGTTTTGACTATGGCTTGAAACATCCACAGATATTCTCTACAAGAAGCCTCCATGCTGGCTGTCGAACTGTCAGAGCTAGAGGTGATGGATGCACTTGCAGGATTTGGTCTTTACGTAGTACTTAAGCCTGTGCCTGGGTGTCAGTAATAGATGATCCCAAAGAGCTGGGGGATCAAGAGGCCAGGGCCCAGTATGGTGACTTCCCCAAGGTCATTTAATGGCCCAGTGGCAAAATGTCCCGATTCGCCCCTCTGATACTGCACCCGCTGCCCCAGGTGCTGGAACCTGCCCTGCGCTTTGGTGTGCAGCTTGGTTTCATCTGATAGTTCCCCCCAGCAGTAAGGAAGGGTTAAAGCTACAGTTAATGTTTCAACTCTCACTGCCCTGTCAGGGCAGCTGTCCTTCCCTTCTCGCATGGTGCTGTTTGCTTGTGTGGCATTTTGGATTCTCAGAATCCCTCTGACCTCGGCGTTGCAAGCAATGGTGAGACAAGAAAATAGTATGTCCTTTTTAAGTATCGAAAGCCAAGAGCTGGATTGGGGACCTCATGAATCATCTCTGTGAGCGGTTGCTTGTTTAAGGGGGTAAGAACTGGAGCAGTTGCTCTTCCAGAAGGTGAATCATAAACCAAGCTGCTGTTTGTCATGTGTTAGGTCATCTACCAGATCCTGTTGGCGTGTGCTGGCATTTACACAGAGCAGCATACTGCAGGCAGGCCAGGCAGAGCATCTTGGAATTAAAGGGGGGGAGAAGGAATCCCTCAAGCCTTGGGGTGAGGAGGAAGAAGGAAAGGAGTTAAAAGGATGCAAAAAGAGCCGATGGTGGTAATGTGTTCTTGCCATCGCTTGGGATTTTAAAATCCCTGGTGTGAAGCAGCAGAGCTATGGGAGCAGAAAGCACAGCTGAGCTGGGTGTCAGAGGGATGCCATCATCACTCATCCTTATGTGCTCCTGGCAGGGCGCTGCCAAGAGCCCGTGCTTTGGGGCTGAGCTGGCGCTTTTTGTTCTCGCAGGATGAAGACCTTGTGAAATGGCAGGCGATGTTTGAAGAGGTGCCTGCGCAGTTAACGGAAGCGGAGAAGAAGCAGTGGATTGCGAAGCTGACTGCTGTCTCTCTTAGCTCCGATGCGTTCTTCCCTTTTAGGGATAACGTTGACAGAGCTAAACGGGTAAGCTCATGGCAGGGCCAGGATGTCAGGATGACTCCAAGGAAATGTTTGCTCAGCCTGGGCTTTTTGTTTGAATTTTGTGCGGACTGCTGAGGAATATCTCTGCTCTGCACTGTTGGCTAGAAGAGTGCATCCTGGGAAGGATGTTTCTCGTGGTTACTGGTCTCACGTGGACAGTAACTATCCAGCCATTGCTCAGTTTGTTGATTTGGGCTGAATAGAGGATTAAAGTTTATTAAACTGTTTAAGAATATCAAGACAAGGCCTATTGCTTCCAGAGGGACCATTTTACACTTATTTCTGACCTGTGGAGAGAACTGACTGCTCACAGGAGGAATTCCCCTGTGAATGGCTTTGGGTGATGGAAGCCTTTGTTCCACGCTTAGTATCATGGGATGTGGATGACGGACTGGGGCTGCCAGCTCCTTTTCAGGGGGATTTTGGTTTTCCATCCTCTAATCCTTCCACTTACCTCTGTCTTTGTTCAGAGCGGAGTGCAGTTCATCGTTGCCCCATCTGGCTCGGCTGCCGACGAGGTTGTGATCGAAGCTTGCAATGAGCTGGGGATAACTCTCATTCACACCAATCTTCGGCTGTTTCATCACTGAGTTTGCCGTGGGCTGTTGTGGTCCCTCTTTGGTCACAGTCTCACCAGCAGCAGTGACTGGAACATCACCAGCTTAATCGGGAGGCACCTGCAGTCTGTGCTTAGTAATGTTTGTAACATCTGTAAATGAGATCTTTCCCTGTGTTAACCGAGATTGAAGGTGCAAGAAGTTGGCCTCCAATGTAGAAAATAAGTCTCTCTTGCAAATAAACATATGATTCTTAGCTGTATGGAGTCTGTAGTCTTGGGTCATTCAAATATGGTGTCCTCAGGAAAAAGGTTTATTTTTGAGGTAAATTTTATGGTCCAGAATTTACTAATTCATTAGAAGGCCTATGGAATGGTATGAAAGCCTGGCTTATGCCCAGCTTCTCAATGAACTGGTAAAAATCTGTGTTGTAAACTGAACTGAGCTGCTTTGGGTTTTGTTGGGTTTTTTGGTGTGTGGTTTTTTTGGTTTGGTGGTTTTTTTGGTGGGTTTTGTTTTTTTGGGTTTTTTTTTTTTGTGTTTTTGTTTGTGTGTTTGTTTGTTTGTTTGAGTCAGCAGGTAGTTTTCTCCGAGCACTTCTAATTCATTATCCCCTTCCCTTGTGAGGAGAGGGGAGCGGGTCCTTTGTGCAAGGCAATCTCTGGTTCCCTGCTCTGAATCCTGCCCTAGACAGCAGTGTCAGGTTGCTTTCTCCAAGGTAAAAGACTCATTCCTGCGAGTTTGATGTGCTTGTTCTCACACCGGGGAGTTCAATTCAGAGTTCATAGGCAGGCATCTGGGAAGCATCTTGCCTGAAGCCACTTCCCTTCTCCATTGTGCACAATTTGCATTAAGCAGATTTGAACTCTGATTAGAAAAACAAAGTGAAAATCTGGAGCACAGTGAGATGAATAAAGCAACAGCCCAGACACGTTTTTGCTGGCAATCACTATGACCATTTCAAAGGACTTTTTTTTGTTGTTGTTCCGTTTTATAAAATCTGTTCAGTTTTGGCAAGGAACAGTCCACAGTTTTGCAATAAACACTTCTGTCACGGCTCTGATCTCAGCTGGTACAGAGCAGAAAGCCTGCATGTGTTCCTCTTGCTCCAGCGACAGCAGGGGCGCATAGGTAGGAAATGGACCTGGAAGAGGGGAAATTCAGGTTGTGTTCCTGGCTCTGCTGCTGACTTGCCGTGACTGGGCATGTATCTTATTTTACCTGGCTGCCCGCTTGATGCAGGCTGGTTTGAACTGAGCAAGGCGAAGATACTTCCTGGGGGATGCGAGTTGTTTAAGAGATGAGAATCCGCACCCTGGTTTTACCGTCATGCATTCATTCCCTCCGCTCTGCCTACATGTGCTGCCCGTCCCCTCCTTGCGTCTTCAGCCCTGGGCACTGCCCAGGAGTTCTGTGTGCCCAGCGCTACCCTTGCTCTGGCCTGAAAGGGAGCAGTCTCCTCTCTTTTCTGATCTCTGCAGTGGATTATTTTTTCTTTTCTGGTCTCTACAGTGGATTATTTCCAAGTGGCTGGATTAAGCATTGACAGGGTAGAGAGAATTCTACCTTTTGGGCCCGGATTAAGACAGTAGTCCAAAATAAAAATGGTGCATTGCTTAATGGCTTGCCTGTTGGCTCTGCTGGCCCCAGCCCTGGTCCATCTGACTGCTTTCTGTGCCACTGCTTCCTATGGAGTGTTACTGTTTGGAGTCTTCCCTGTTTTTATTATCTTATACTTCAAAAGTTGGGTTTTGGACTCTCTTTCTTCCACTGTTCTTCTGTTCCTTACATGTCTTTTCTGTCGTGCTGTTTTGACCATAGCTGGTACATACCATGCAGTGAGGTTCTCTCAGGAATCTGTTAGCCTGTTCTTTACCGGCATCTTCGAAAGTGCTGGCTGAAATAGAGACTGGTAGTAAGCACCTGGCACCTCCTGTTCTCATCTATTCCCGCTTATCATTTACCCTTTGTTTGCCATCCTTGGGGCACTGTTTCATCTACTGACGGAAGTTAATAGGTACTGATCTTCCAGGTGGGATTTCTGCATGAGATGCTAGGAAGTGTGTAAGTAAGGTGATACCTTGTGCTTTGTAACTTGCAATTGTTTATGCAGTTTTCTCACGGCATCCGTAGAGGCATGGATTGTCACCCGGGCTGCAGTGACAATTTCAACTAGCCTGAAGCCTTCCCCTTGAGGGAAATTGGCAGCGCGTGAAGCCTGGCACTTGACTGGCTCCTGTCTCGGGCACAGAGCCACGGATGCCCTTCTGGAAGAAGTATGCAGGTCTGGAAGCAACCGCTCCAACCGCTGCTCTGTGAGGTCAGGTCGGGAGCTGCTGTTTTTGAGCTGCCGAGAGATGCCCTAAAGGGGGGATCCAGTCCTTGCTGGTGGCAAGTCCCTGCTGACAACTGGGCTGAAGAGCTGCGAGCCTTCCCCCGGCGCAGCAGGCCAGATGAATGGATCTTTGTAAGAAAGGGCTGTGTTGGCCCGTAACGGTTCCTTATGAGGTATGCTGATCTCCTGCTAGTTGAATGAATTACTTCTCCCTTTGATATTTACAATGATTAAAAGCGAACCGTGTGGCTTTGCTTAGTATCTGTTTCCCATAGGAAAGGGCGTGTCTCTTCTCATGGGGGGATAGGTCTGCTCCCCTCGGTTGATGCTTTTTGAAGAGCGGGCTGCTGACAGGCTGTTTTGCACCATCACCATCTGGTGCCTTGCCCCTGGCAGGTCCTGTGCTGGCAGAACGAGAACAGCTCCCAAAAGCGTGGAAGTAAACAGAGGGCAGGGAGGAATCATTCTCGGCCTTCGCTCTCAGTAGCAGCGGATTTTTTTTTTTTTTTTTTTTTTTTTCTTTCACCCCTTTTTTTCTTTTCTGGAAAAGAGCCCTCCCTCTG